AGGACAGAAGACCACTTGAGACCTGGACTGCCTCAGATATAAGAAACAGCATTTCAGAAATAATTCAGGACCAAGGTTCTAGAGTATCTGCTGTAGACTGAATGCTGTATCTCCCCAAAGTTCATGTTAAAACCTAATCCCCAATGTGATGGTAATTGGAGGTGGGGCTTTGGGGAAGTGATTAGGTCATGAAGGAAGAGCCCTCAGGAATGGGATTGGTGCCCTTATAAACGAAACCCCAGAGAGCTCCCTCACCCATTCCACCATGTGAAGATGCTACAAGGAGTTGGCAGTCTGCAACCTGAAGGAGAGTCTTCACCAGAACCTTGGAACATGCTGGCACTCTGACTTCCAGCCTCCAGAACTTTGAGACTTTGAGAAAGAAATTTCTGTTGTTTATAAGCTTCCTCATTTATGGTATTTTATTATAGCAGCCCAAACAGACTAAGGCGCGCTCGCGCGCGCGCGCGCTCTTCCTCTCTCTTTCTCTCTCTCTCTCTCTCTCTCTCTCTCTCTCTCTCAGAGTCTGTCATCAAACTTTTGCCTTTCCCCCTCCTCCTTCCCATAGAATCCACTTTTGTAAGGCCCCCGTGACTTCCACAATACCAAATCCCATGGACAATTATTGTGCCTCATTTTACTCAGAATCTGTCAGTGGCATTTTACACAGTTGCTCACTTTCCTCCTTGAAATTCTTCATGTAGCATCCAGGCATCTACTATCTTAGTTGTCCTCCTACCTCACAAACAATTCTTTCTCCATTTTCACCTCACGCACCTCTCAATGGAGCCATGCTCAGGGCTCAGGCCTTGATCTCCTCTTCTCTGTCCACACTCATTCCCTTGATGGTCACAACCTGTACAACTGATTTTAAAAAAATCAACAGACTAAAGACTTCTAAATGTATATCTCCAGTTCTAACCTTTCCTCTATACTCCAGATTGGTGTATTTAAAAGCCTACGTGACATCACATGTTCAAAATCAAATTCCCAAACTTGCTCTGCACCCGCCAGGCACATCGGCATATGGCAATTCCATTTTTCCAGTTGCTCAGGTAAAATGGTTGACACCTCTTTCTCTCACACTCTAATCCATCAATTAATCTTGTCACTCAAATGTCACCTAATCAGTGAGGCCTTCCGTGGCCACTCTATGTAAAAAAGCAATACACACACACACCCTATTCTCCTTACCTTGCTCTGTATTTTTCCATAGCACTTATCACCATTTCATATTATTTATGTACTTGTTGATTTCCTTATTGTCTGTCTTTGTCCACCAGAATGTAAACTTAAGATCAGGAACTTTGTCTTATTCACTCACTGCTATATCCTGGTGCCTAGAACAATGCCTGCCACAACTATCTATTGAATGAATGAATAAATGGCCCTGAGACGAGAGCCAAATTATTAAGAAATGTTTATGTTTAAATGGCGAGCAATGATAAGTAGTTGTGTGTTGTCAATAGTTTCACGGTTAAGCTGAATTTATAAGCTTGTTTTTAAAGAGATAGAAAATGAACTGTTACTTGAAATTCTTGGAATAGAAAGGAAGCAGTGGCTTTCTAGTCTCATTACTTCAACCTGCATCCACCTGTTATTTACACCTAACACATCGTTGGCAGTTGGTAAGTGTTAATTAAAATGTTTATTAATACAGATGTAAGTCATGATTTGGGTGGGGTTTTTGCCTTAATTTACATAATGAGCCCTCTCTGCCTTAATAAAGTGCAGAACAATTAAAGCATCCTGGCAGCTGTGGCAAAGCTAGGGACACCCATCCTCTTTGGGGCAGGGGGAGGTGCTGAAGGGAGGAAAAGGTACAGCTGTTTAACCTGGATTCCCAGCCCAGCAAAGTACATGGAGGAAAATTAAATAACTGCTCTTGCAGGGCTTCAGACACAGCACCCGGGTTGCGATGGTCAACTCTGCATTCTCAGCGCTTAGCACGGGGATTCCAACCCAAGAATCTGGAGGCTCCTCCCCTCCTCCTCTGCTGTGCTAAGAGGTCCCACAACCCATTGTCCAGCCCATTGTCATATCTATGTCCTGCCTGACTGTTCTTGTCTACAGGGTCGTCA